AATTCTTATAATGTTAGTTCACAGAATTTAGTATTGGATCAACTTATTAACCCCAAATTGATATTTTTTTATTCTCATCACTTATCTGGTTCATATTGTATTGATATTGTAAGGAGAAATTCTTTCTTGGTCACTCATGGGAGTTAAAGGGTTAAACACAAACAAAATGATGCTAACCTGACAATATAATTGGATCAACTTCAGTATATTCCCTCATCACCCAGATCATTAACCTAGCCAAATCCTAGAAAAGTTAAGAAAGAGTTACATCAGGTCAAATCTTCTGATCAAAGCCTCTATCAATATAATATTTAGTCAAAAAGTGTTAAGTAAGGGTTGACAAAATTTTTCACTCACCTTGGAATAAATAAACTGTCTCCGTGGTGAACCAGTTCCCCAAACTACAAGGGGTTTGCCTTCCTCTACACCACCACAATGAAGAAAACAGAAAAATGGCAATTTTACTCTCACTGAAAAATATGATATCTCGAGCTCTTTTCACTATTTTTCTTGTATCTTGTATAACAGAAATCCTGACACAATGAAGGAGGAGCAAACTTAATGTAAAAACCACTCAGGCACAGAATCAAATCACGAACTGTTTGAAACTTAACATTTATCTCAGTTACAATTGATTTTACTTTGCAATACTACTAGGAACATTTTAGGAAGAGTGTTTCAAAGGACTTGCTCTTTTACATTGAAAACAAAGAGACTGAATTTCTCCTGAGATAAAGGATTGTGAAGAATGCAGTGATAGTAAAGATAGAGCCTGTGAAATATAAATTGTTAATTTTGTATTTTAACATAAAAGTAGCCCTTATGAAAATTTGGCATTTCAACTTACTTCGTGCCAAGTAAACTTTGTGAATAAGTCCAGGTAGAACATGAGAGTCCTCTAGATTAAAATTATCATACTTTCCATACACATTGGTTGGAACAACGGAAGTGAAAGAGCATCCATCTGGATACTGCTGTTGATATGCTCTACAGAAAAATAACACATTTATCAAGTCACATTTTGGTATTCTGTTTCACCTTTGAGAACTACGAAAAATAAACTGGAAGGTAAAATTGTTCACAACAACGGTCATTGTTTTACAAGTTAAGCCAATTCAATGATGCCTTATATTTGATTTTATTATGTCCATTTCGAAATGACTGGTGACTTGGCTCTCATCAGTACAACTGATTCAGAAATTGCACCATTTTTTTCTCTTAATCACATCTTTCTCCCAGCCAAAGGGAAAGCTTTACTAAAACACAGGAATCATCTGATTTCAAGGCTTGTTTAAAGTAACCAATCAAATTGCAGGAAAGTGAAAGACAACTTTTGCAATGTTTTACAAACCAGCTCAGTACTGGATCAACAAAATATTTATACAGACTAAAAAATTATGTACTTGAGCAACTGACATTTGTGCTTTCAAAATGGATTTTAAAAAGTGGTAATTATACTCTATGATTTTGAAATCAAATGCTCAAGACTTTCATTTAAAATCACAAAAATGATTTCAGACCGAAATTGCACTCCACTCAGATCAATTCCCATTATTTATTGCTAGTGCTAAATGATGGTAATGGATCCTCAATAGGGGTGCAGAAGGGAGGAGGAGAGTGAAGCACAGGGTTAGGGGAGGGAAGGTGATAGGTGATGGCTGTTGGGTGGGGCTTTACAGACAAATGATAAAAAACCAGTAGCACTTGATAATTATAATAACAAGAGCAAGGGATAGACAACCTCCAATCTGACATAAGTGAAACTAGCTAAAGGTAAATGTACTTTGGGGAAGAGTTTGCAAAGAATAACTGCAACCCTGTGCCAGTTCTCCTACAGCATAGCCTTAAAATCGCACTCACATATATTGACACCTAATTATCTGCTATTCAAAACTATTGTAAAACCCTCCCATGAGTGGACAAAGAAAACAAAAGCATTTGCAGTAAAAGAGTAAATTTTCAATATACCTGTTTTGCACATCAATCATACGCTTGGAGTATGCATAACCAAAGTTAGAAGAGTGAGGTGGGCCATTGTGAACCATTGTTTCATCAATAGGATATGTTGTCTTGTCTGGGAAAATGCACGTAGATAGACAAGATACGCACTTCTTCACCTACAGTTTAGCCAAGGACAAAATCAGTTTACTTGCCTTATGAACAAAAGGATTGGAAATGATATCAAAACACAAAGCATTTAACAGTCCATTATCATATTTCTTTAACCCTTTAAACTCCCAAGATCTGATTGTTCATTCTCTCCACTGGTTGCTACATATTTCCTTGGGAATTAGTTGCAAGAATTTGGTGTTAGATCAAGATAACAACTTCTACCTGATAAGTGAGTATTCTCATTACCTGTTTGCTAAATAATTTATTGATAATATAGGCAGAACTTCCAGTTAATCCCTTTTGGGAGTTAAAGGCCTAACTCAATACAATAGGATGGATATCTACATGATCAGCTTTAAGATGAAAGTCACCTGACATGACACCCACCTTACTTAGATGACAGCTGTAGAGAACATTGTCATTAATAAGTGTATTCATCCGCTAAGGAAAAAAAAAAATGAACTTGAGATTGTAACAACATATGTACACCTGTAGGTACACCTTGCATTCAAATGCCAGAAATTACACTTACACATAATTCTAGTTCATTAATCTGGTTGCTAACCTAACTGAGATTACTTTATTGTTTACTCCTCTTGATTATTCATAGCTATTACAAAATGATAAAATTAAAGCCTGGATTTTTCCAGACCTCTTTTTCTGCAATGACTTCAACCACAGAAAACCTTCCAAGATTAATTTGCTACTTGTTGATAAAAGTTTAATTTGGATAGTACTATAGAAGCAATGGCCTGAGGTGAAAAAAAAAAGAAAGAAAGAAAGCAGGTTTATTTTTATTTTCATCACAGACTTTAAAAAGTGGGGAAAATGAAAATGTTTATGATATATTAACTCAAAGGAAAAAATATCATGATGGGCATACCCAGAAATCCAGATTGTACTTAAGGTTCTTGAAAAGTCCACCCACCAGAGCTGCTAAGTGAATAACATGAGTTGGCTTGTACTTGTCAAATATTGCTTTGGTTGCTGCAGCATCACTAAGGAATAGAAAATTTTTAATCTATAAACTTTGAGCTCATCACAAATATTCCTTTAAAGCTGACTGCCAATTACAGTGTTACAAAACCAACGCTGTTATATAAAAGTCTATGAAGAGAATGTTCATGCTCTCCATCATTTCTTAAGTATCTTCCCTTAAAGACAAATAAGAAATATGTACAAAGTTCTCAAAATTTCAGACAACATTCTTTTTCATTCCTAGGAAATAAAGTTGATATTCTTTTCAATGATAGTTGACATACATTCTATACACTGAATCATTTAGCAGAAAATGAAAGGGCCCAAAATTTTCATTCTTAGTTAAAAATGGAAAACACAATTCATATAAATTTAAAACTATTTCACAGATAGTTTTTCAGATACGTGGAGTTTAAATCTCACCAAAGGTCGCCATCTTTAGAAGACAGAAAAATCCAAGTTTCATCTGATCTTTTCTCTTCTGTTGCTACAATTTCTTCCAGAGCTTTTCCAACAAGGCCAGTACCACCAGTCACAAGAATTATTTTTTGCTCAGCCATTTGGAGGGATACAAAGTTAACTGTACTTCAAAAGAGGGTTAAAATAGACTTTACATACCAAATATATCACTGACATCTTCAAGAACTTAAACAATTTAATCATAATGAAACAATATAATTTTCAGTCTAGTGAGGTGTGATGGAAGGTTGGCAACCACAAGTAACTAGCTTCGTTTCCAGTCACTGTGACAAAATGCTATTTGACCTCGTTTTGCTGGCTTTCATGTTTGACCATTGGCAACGCACAGCCCTTAGGATTTGATTACCTTTGGAAAAGAGAAAGGTTGCCCATAACAACATTGTACTCTTATAGCCAAAACCCTGTCACCAAACTTTTACTGCACCTCATTCAACCAATAACCAGAGTAAGTCAAACTGGTACATTTCTTGCCACTTTTAATAAGCCATACAGATGAGTGTAGTTTGAAAACCTTTCTAAAATCGTGAGTGACTATAAATCACCAAAAGAACAACCAGTTAAAGTGGTATTTTTGGTTACTATATTCTCAACTAAGTGTTAACTAACCAACACCAATTTGAAGATCCTCAATCCATATCATTAAAATTTACTGTAAAGAACTTATTACATGAAAAAAACAAAGGAAAAATTATGCCAAAAAAAAAACAGAATTTTGATGAAAGTAATGTCCGTGAGAACAAAAGAACTTAATGAAAAAGCGACAAAGGTAAAAAAAGGAATATTGTCAAAAGAAACACCAAATAATTTTGGCAGCAATAGTTAAAACTGCCACAGCAGCTGTAAATATATATAATTTATTTGCAAAAACATCTGCTGCATACATAGGGACAGTGTGAGCGGAAAAACATCTGCACTGCATAACCATGATATTAAAGATAAAAAAAATAAGATAACTAAAACTTCCTTATATTCATTTTGTATAGGTAATCATATGAATTTGAGTGCAATTTGGAATAAAAAAGCACAAGTAAATTTTTTCCCATAGGGCGAGTGCAATTTGTGGTCTCTGAAAAAATTTACAAGTGCTTATTTATTCCAAATTGCACAAGAAAAATTATGGAGCGACTGCAGAATACCCAGCCATTCATTTACATGTCATTTAATAAGAATAGCGTCTATTGTGTCATGCCTCGATCTTCGTAGCCTACCGACACATGTAAGTGAGGCGGACCAAAGTGGCCGGGTATTCTGGAGTTTAGCCATTTGATTACACATTGATAATGTACATGAAAAAATACGAGATAGGTTATCATAATTATGCAGAAGCAAAGCGCGCGCATCAAGTGCAAAAATAATCTAATCAAACCTATGCGTTCGATCAAAACACAGGCAGACAACCCTGTGGGTTTAAGGCCGCATGACGTCAGTTACTGCCTCACGCGACCTCAAACCTGCAGGGTTGTCTGCCCGTGTTCAAAACAACCACGTACGATCAAAACATTAATATACAATGATATTTTTCAAATCTTTAAGGTGCAAAAAAAGTTCGAAGTCCGGCTAAACAGTTCAAGGAATTGTTCAGTCTGGTTTGTTGCTTCTTTGCTCGAAATTTACCCTCTTCTGCATTGAATTACTTGAAAACTGCATTGACCTTCACCAATCAGAACGGAGTCATTTTTTTAATGTAACTTATCAGTCACAGTATACATACGCTACCGGCTGGCACGTGTATAATTGTTGTATGCTTGTGTTGGCTGGGACTCTTAACTCGATTTAGTCCATTTCGTCCAAAATCACAAGCCTGTTTGCTAAACAGGTATGAAATTTTTTTAATAAGCTAACAAGAGGTAGCGATACCGTGGCCAGATTTTTGCGGCGATGACTTGTGGAACAATAACCCCGAAATTTTTACCTTCGCATAATCGATCTCCATAACCTAACATAATATGAAGCGTACACGAAAAGGAAGACTGCGTAACTTTACCTTACAATCAGTCGCTCTTTAAGCAATGAGGTAAACAATAAGTAACCAAAGCTGATCAAAATCAAAGTAGGTTACATAAGTACCTACCTTTCACGAGGGAGTTTGGACGTGTCGATCGAAATTTCTAGGATAGCACAAGCGCTTTGTAACCACCCACTACCCGAAGCGTTCTACATCTAGAAGTCACGCAAATAACTGCTTGACGTAACCCAGACAGTAAAGGTGAAAAGCATCATGGGATACTAGTTACTTCTCAAGATGGCGGCCCAACCAAGTTCAGGTAATTGGTAGTTTATTTTAGATGTTCTCTACACTGAAGAAGAAAAGATGTCAGATAATTTTCAGCATACGTATCAATAGTGAAGCCTTTCCAATCATAAGTGATGGGACCTTGGAGAATACATCGCCAGTCCTTATTCGGAAGTTATGCGGAAGTTCGGCGATGTCGACTAATCATTTTACAAACTGTTTGGACTTATTTTCTTTTTCTTTACCATCAGCGTTTTCTGTTTTATGTTGAAAAGGGAAAATTTATTTTGGATAAGTCTGAAAGCTATTAGATTTGTTTAGATATCTTTTTCTTAACTAAACCTCGCTCTGTATCAGGTGATTACCTCGCATCGCATGATGACTGTGAACTATAATTAGCCATGTTTATTTTGTTTAAATTTGCTCATCGAACTTCTCGTTCACGGAAGATGACTCAACAATAATCAGATGTAAAGGAATATTTACTAGCGTTTAATATACGGCACTTAACTATGGAATTCTGAAGAAGAAGGTCTCAGATCTTGAAGTCTTATTTGTTTCAAGAATATCCTTATGAACTTTTCAATTCCAATCATTAATAATTAGTACCATGAAATGCTCGACATATTAGACGACAAGTGCTTTTCCTTGCTTTTGTGGATCGATACATCTGAATAGGTGCATTTTAACCACCTTTGAATGTTGATTAAAGTTTGGAAAGTGTGTTTGTTGTTGCAGGAGAAAAGAATAACCTGTTTGTTCACAGACATTGTTTCTTTTAGTTTTAATCCATTTATGATGGTGAGCTGTTGAGAAAAATGTTGTTCCAATTGCTGCAAAAAGATTTCAAGGATTATCAACTCAGTAGCATCATTTTGCTGGAAAATATTTAGTAATACTTCAAAAGTGAAATATAATCATTTGTCTCACAATGTGGTCACTTTGGATATAGATTGCGACATTTTAACTACATACTGCTAGTCTTTGTCAGGTGATGAGGTTGATTGCATATTTGTCACCTACATGCTGTTGTGCTCAGCTGTGACTGGATGGAATTGCACGATTGTGATTCAGGTGCATCTTTCAGATCAGTTTCCCTCTATGGTACACTGCAGAATGGCTCTCCTGTTGTTGTGTTTTTTGATCATTGGCATCCAGGCTTGTGGGATTTCAATTCCATTATCCTTGTTGATGCTGTTAAGGTGAAGTTATCAGTGAATTGCCTCTTTTACCTGGGTAAACTGATCTGAAAGATGCACCAATCCCAGCTTTGGAATTCCATTTAATTACAGGTGAGCACAAGAGCATGTAGGTGACATGTCCTCAATTGATTTCTTCACATGAAGAGGACTTGCAGTATGTGATCCACATCCACAGTGACCATTTTGTGAGACAAAAGATTATATTTCTCTTCTAACAACAATTTATTTTACCACTTAGTTAGTTATAGTTAACAATTGGTTCATACATCATCTGTGCTTTCATCGAGATATGAAGCACTTGGGAGGTTTGGAGAGCACTCAAGAAGCTAGAGTTGCTCTCGGCTATGCCTCAAGCAATTCTTATGCATCTTTCATGCTCTCCAAACTTGCTGCATGCTTCATATCTCGATGAACGCACAGATGACGTATGAACCAATTGTTTAATAACATTTTCAATCCAATGAAAAATTTTTTCTCAAGGGATTTGTTTGCTGATGTCATGAGCATGCACTACAATAGCATGCAATAGGAATATGAAGCATGCTCACGCAATTGAACTTGTTTAGACAAATTTACTAGCTATGTTATAATTTCTGTTAATACCCAAGTGGTATCTGTTTGTTGAAATTCGCAGTTTTCCTTGAGCTTGGTCCCCAGAGAACTGATGGCTTCTCGAAACAGATAATTTTTTTACACAAACTTCTTAGCTTATTTTTGCACCAAGTACGGGTTGTTGTATAGATACAATAACAGAGACACATGAGCATTATTACTGATACAACTGATTATAGTTGTGCTGTTGCTGTTTTTTTGACTAGAGCTTTAGCATTCAATTACCTCATGTGAGGTGATTAAGTTTTTTTACCCCTAACAGTGATCATTTAATTTCACCTTACAGTATTGCCACTGAATCAAATATTAAGCTCATGAGAAGAAAAGAAATGATTGCCAGCTTAGGAGCTTTTTGATCGTTAAACATATTATCCCTGTTGTTATCATAGGAAATGTATACAGAACAGTATAGAGAATATGCACACTGATGTTATGGAGTAAAAGGTTAAAGCAGAGTATTGTGCAATCATCAACCAATCAGACTGAGATTGTTTGGGTGTTTGTAATAATCTGAGACTCGTTGTTCAACAGAGGAGTTTATTACATCTTACAGAAACATCATGGAGTAACAGGAAGTTACAAAAGCTGATAGTAATGCAAAGAATAAAACAGGTGAATGACAATCTCTGGTAAGTTAAATTATCAATTTTTTCTGATCACTAGGGAATGCGCGAGCTAATGTGATGACTGGTGATTTACCAGAGGATTTTTTGCGGCTTTCGCCAGCAGTAAACCAAGCACCTCCTCCTGCAGGACAGATGGTTCCAGTCCAGCCTGTTACTTATTACCAACCAACAGGGTTCATGCAGCCAATTCAGCCTCAACACATAGGAAGATTAAGCATTACAGTACAACAGGTCTGCAAAGTTCAGTTTTAGTTTTAATGAAGAGTGTTATATTAAGCATCCGCACATAGTTTAAGTGAGAAAAACAGGGGTTAGAATGAATATTGCATGCGGACCCCTCTAGTATAGTCAATATAGTTGGTTCATCTGCCATGTTTTATATACTGAGCTGAATTAAGCACTCAATTTGATTGGCTTTTCCTTAAGATCTATTGAAGGACAGACACATACAGAGAATATCACCATCATTTTTCTTAATTATCTTATGAGTAAAAACAGATTCCATGTTGCCAGTATTGTGTTGATTGCAACTAGGACCCAAAGTTAGTGTTGATTATGTATTGTTAGCCTGTGTAGAAGTTAGTGTGAACACCTCTCAATATATAATGTTATGTAACCAGCAGAACAAATATACTCAGTTGTCCATGTTATTTAGGTTAGGTTTAGTAATAAGTATTAAGTTTGTAGTTGTATATCTACATGTAGGGATTAAAGTTTTTTCATGTTCTTTTTAAAATAATTTTCTGTGCTTAAACAGAATGGCCTTGGCTCTGTACGGTATAAGATCACAGATAAAGTCAAAATGTGGTACCTAAAGTAGTACCAAGTATCACAAGAGTGGCACAAAAGGCACAGGCAAATGTGTCACAGATACACTGCAATATAGACTGAATCTACTATTTTATTAAATAGCAACCACATGTGGTAGATAACAAATGATAAAAAAATGAGCCCCATTTAAATTTTACAGGCTCTTTTTATTCACCTCAATAGGCTAAGTTGGCTAAGAATTATGGCATTACCCGCATGGATCCTTACTGTCGAATAACAGTGGGAAACCATGTGTTTGAAAGTCCAACAGCTCATAATGGTTCAACAAACCCTCGTTGGAACAAGTTGATGTCAATGTAGGTACCTTCATGGGAAACTTAACTAATTTACTTTTTTCCTTTAAATAACCCCCAAGATCCGATTGATAATCTACCCTCTAATGAAAGCTCATTTCCTTCTAAAGAAGGTACAAAAATTAGGTGTTGGATCAAGATAACAAATTAAATAACTGATAAGTTTAAGTTTTCTCATTACCTGTTTGCTGGATACTGTACAAGTATTATAGGGAGAAGTTACATGGTAATCCCTTGTGGGAATTAAAGGGTAAATGGGTGTCACTTGCTTGTAATTCATAACTTGAATGTAACTTAGGGAGGTTAGTGTATTTTTTTTTTTTCGTTTGTTTTCCTAAGCCAGGTTAGACTATCTTTGCAAGTATGAGGAGTTTCTTTGCTTCTGCATGCTTTGTGTATCTAAAGTTATCTTTATGGTGTCCCTCAAAATGTTCACTATGACATACAATTTTTTTAATTATTTCACAGTCCCATGCAAGAGGGTGTTAAGAATGTGTATGTGGAAATTTTTGATGAGGTGATAACTATTCTCATACATATTATTTTATGATAACCTGAGTACTTAGTATGACTTGTACAATTTGGTTAAACAGCAATGAACCTAACATATGATTGTGTTTCTTACTACCTCAATTATCTTGGTTGGCTCCTACAACAGCTTTATTATAAGTCTTAAGTTTATTCAAGCTTTACATCCACATATCTTTATCTGTCATCAACTTCTAAGAATATGGTTGTTGCCATTTATGTACCTTGGAGATCTATGAAAAAGTAGTTACCAGATATATTGCTCTATACGAACCATGAATTTATTTCAGTCTGTGCTTGTTGGTAATTATATCTTAATGGTTCTCCACCAAACCAAAGTTGATTTTATTACATTGCATCATTCTTTAACAGTTTTATTAGCTGTCATGTTACTTTAATTCAGTCTTTTAGTGGTTGCACAAAGATGCGTCGTAACCTTTCCAATTCCAGTAGAGCACTTTTTCTATTGCTATGACCTGGATACAAAATTATGGAGTTTAAATTATATGTCCATGATCTTGAGCATTTGAATCCCCAAATGTAGTCCTCTCAGAAATGTTGCCAGTGATACAAAACTTTATTTTAAACAAGAGCTTTGAATGGTGGAGACTAGGAAAGTGTATTTCACTAAAAACAATTATTATTGATGTAGTCAGAGCGTCTTATCAACTTTGCAATTGGTCAAACGGTCTGTTGTATTCTTTGGATTTCAGCGTGCATTTTCTGTGGATGAGCGGATTGCCTGGGGTCTGGTTGCAATTAAAGATTCAGTGTTTTCAGGAGAAACCTTAGAGGATTGGTATTCCCTTAGTGGAAAGCAAGGAGAAGACAAGGAAGGAATGATCAATTTGGTTTTTTCATACAGGGTAGGTTCATTTCAGTTTTTTGTGGTATGTTCATTTTTCTGTTTGTTTGCTTTCTAAAAATCTGCTTATAATTACTGTTTCTTCTAGGAAACAACATCATTTAAGAGACTTTTTTCCATACAGTGCTCTTTTGACTAAGAATTAAATTGGTGTGACAACTATTATTATCATAAATTGTATGTTGTTTTTACTACAGTATAAATTTATGACAGTATTCAAAAAAAGCTGAACAAGTAGAAACTTGAAAAAGTTAAATGCGCAAATGCTTGCAAATAATGATCTGGCATTCTTTTTCAACTTCTTTGTCAACGTTTCTTGTTGTTTACTTCTTTGCTTATCTCCTTCCCCTAGCAAACCATTATTTTAAGTTTATTTGAAGCAAGTTTGTATACTATCAGCTAAAAACCTTTATTTACACATCATAATTGAGCCTCTCTTGACAAGAATCTGTTGTTATGTTCATTTTAGCAAGTATCAGCTCCCCCACCACAAGCGATGATGTATCCTAGCATGCCAGTTACTAATGTACCAGTCATGATGGTGCCTCAGCCAGTTGTGCCAGGTACTCAAGTCCTTTATCCAGGAGGATATGGTCCTGGTCAGCCTGTTCCAACTGGTCCACAGCAACATCAACAGCAACCACGTCAGCTTAATCAGCAGGATATAACAGGCTTAAAAGATATGTTCCCCAGCATGGAAGAGGGTGTTATACGATCTGTGCTAGAGGCATGTAGGGGAGATGTTAATGCAGCAACAACTCATTTGTTGGGAATGACGTCAGACTCTTGAATAATGCAGTTACTCAATGAACACACTGATGAGCTGGAGTATTATTGATAAGTCTGAATTTCAGATGAACTCTGAATAGCAGAAAATTTGGCAATTAGACCCAAAATCTAGTAAACAGCCTTCAAGGGAGAGTCTCAGTGTAAGAAAGAGATAGGGATGTTCCCCAGAAATTTTGAGTTTTAGAAAACTCAAAGTAGGCCAATTGTCCCAGTTCTGTTCGACTCAAAAGATAAAACTTAAGGGGTGAAATGGCAATTGGCTGAAAGCAGTAAATTCTTCCAAATGAAGTGCAACTTGAAAACTGTTTGCCATTGTTTTTCTTTTTTTATTGAGCTATCATTAATGATATGATGGCAGCTGAATATATCAGTGTTTCATCCTGAACAACAAAAGCTGTAAGTGTGAACAAACTCTGAGATTTGAAGCCCTGAGCAAGCAAAAGAGCATCCTTATTTCTTTCATATGAGAGACCCCCCCCTTGGGTTGAGGAATTTGTAGCCATCTTAATGTAAAGTTAAAGCAAAGACAGGTGTTATCTCCAAAAATACTCATTGTGGTCTCATGTGTGTGTCAATTTCAGATTAGCATAGGAATAATTTCCTTTCACTAATTCCCTTGCAAATCATTGAGAGTGTGGATTTATAGCAAAGAAAGATAGTGAATGCAAAGTGCTCCATCATCTGAACCTCCCATATTACACTAGTAATGAAAACTCCATACCTTTGGCTCATACTTAGTCTAAGATAAATGACACAAAAAAGTTTGACACAAGACAAATCAATGATGCTTTTTAAAAAACACTTTTTTAAGATTTAAAGTTTCTTTTATTTGAATGTTGATAACTTTACTAGTTTTTTGGAGAAAAGTCTGCTCTAACACACCACAACTAAGACTAAGTGCCTCAGAAACAAAACTCTGACTGATCAAACTTTAACATCAAGTGATGTCTACCGAAAAAAGTACTAGAAATATATTTAAAATCTCAACATAAATGCAATCAACAATATAATTTTTTTTAAATAGTTGAAAATGGAAAGCTCTTGTGATGAGGCATTGCTTGATTAGAGCAGTGCTTTTCTCTACTCTAGAAAAACAAATAATATTAGATGGTTGTGAAAAGTGATTATTGCAAAGAGGAATAACTTGGAAATATAGATCTATGACCATTGATATCATTATCAGTAGAAAAGTTGCTAATCAAGAGAAAAAATGATGAAAAATAAAAGAAGTGCACAATGATTTTTTTCTTAATAGTCATTTAAATGATATGAAAAACATCCAATAATCTGGCTAGCCTTATTCCACGAATTTTGCCTAAGTGCATAAATTGGTTGGAAACAGCGTGGGTGCACAGTGCTTGATTCTTTATTCTTGAAGGCCACAGGACCAATGGCACCAGTTATGTTCATCATGTGTCATGCTCTTAAAGAGGAAAAGTTTGCAGGAGAGGAGGCAGTAAACAGTCAATATTTTGGGAATTATTTGGCTACATATTGACATTTATTATATAGATACTGATGAAATACCAGGATTTTTGCTTTTACTAAAAAATCATATCTTCATTGCACGCAGCAAATATACTGTTTTTATCTTCCACGTGTGAGGATATTGGTGTTGCCATGGTTATTAACATACTATGATACTATGTTTCGAAAATGAATAAAAAAAAGTTGTCTTTTATGTGGGAATTTCATCAGTATCTATTAAATAAACAGAACATACATGGCCGCTTGGGGATACAAATTTTATCTTCTTGCGCAGAAAGTATCTCTCATTCGTGAGAAGTACTTTCAGCACTCGAAGATAAAATTCGTATCCCTGCACGCGGCGCGCGGCTATGTAATATCCTCTATATATATTTGCCCCACCTTGGGAGAAAAACGATCAGCTTTAATTAACCAAGTGAATAGTAGAGGAACTGCATCTTCTGTTACTTTCATGAGGAAAATCATAAAATTGTGCATAGGACGTCTTAAAATTGAATTCTGTACTACCATATAGTGAAGTGAAAGTCATTTTCTAGTTTTGTTTTACCTCTAAAATTGTATTTTGAGTTTCTTTCTTCTTTAAACTTTTAAAAAATGACCAATGTTGCATGATATGCTATTATCCTTGACTGGTCGTTGTAATAGTCAATCTTCAAGGTGACCATAACAGAATTTGCTATCTCCCTGATCTCCACAGGATACGTGTTACATGACAAGATTTCTTTCCAATGAGCAATGAGCTTTTTCCAAGTAGACTTCTCCCTCTTGTCCAAAGTCACGGGGCGAAGATCCTGGAAACGAGGTTAACATAATATTACGCCTCCGTTACCTCGCGAAGCTTTGTCACGCTATCTAAAAAGTCGCGAAAGTTACCTTCACTAACTACTGTTGGTTTCTTTTGTCGTACATAGTCGTAGAATTCAAAGAAGATGACGTTTTATAGGAATGTAGTCTGGTTTGCCAAAGGTTTACGTGAATATACGAAGAACGGATATATTGCAGCGGAGAAATCGTTTGATCCGAAAGCATTAGATGTTGATGTTTCATCGCGAACGTTCATGATAACTGGCGCAAATAGTGGAATTGGAAAAGACACAGCAGCATTTTTAGCCAAAAAAGGAGCCACAGTACACATGGTTTGCCGCAGCGAAACTAGAGGTGAAGAAGCCCGAAAAGAGATCAGCGAATCGTCGGGAAACGATAAAGTAATTTTGCACATCCTTGATATGTCCAAGCCCAGAATGGTGTGGGAATTCGTGGATAAGTTTTCATCCGCCAATGAAGCTCTTCACGTCCTTATAAACAATGCTGGTTGTATGGTGAACACAAGAGAAGTCGATGAAGATGGTCTGGAGAAGAACTTTGCCACTAATACTTTGGGAACGTACATTTTGACATCTGGTCTCATGCCTTTACTCCTCAAAAACGAAGCTCCGAGAGTCATTACAGTTTCGTCAGGTTGGTTAGAATTTATGTAGCTGCAATTTATATAATAGAGAGGTTTACGAGTGAAAATATCTCAAAATTTCGCTTATTGCACTGTGAGCAAATTTTGATTTATTCCAAACTTTACACGTCGCACATTACGTAATCACCCAGTGGAAATAAGTCAATTTTTTCGTAAGAGCTCGAATGCACCTTGAACTTTGTCTTGTGATTTCATTGTAAATAGGCTGAAGCATTTGGAGGACACGAAATGTTTTCCTGCATAGGAATAATCAGGCCGTCCGTTAAATTCTCATTTTGATGATCGACCTTTATTTATCATCTAATGCCTCCTTGGACTATCTACTAAGGAGAGGGAGGGGAGGGGAGGGGCGGTGAGAGATCCTAGCATTTCTGACTAAGCCTTTAAAATTAGCTGAACAAGGCGAAATCGTGTTATTGTTTCTTCAATAGATAGCTTATTTATTATGGAATATCAGGAGTGTCTTTTCAAGTTTTAAATAGAGTTACACAGAGACAAATGACTCTTTTCAAAGTGGGCTAAGATTTGAAGACATAGCATAGAGCAAATTATGCCACTCCAGTCAGACATTCACTTTGAGATCTGTATCATTAATTCTTGGAACTGCTATCTCACAAACTGCTTCTAGCAAGCTATATGGGTTTATTTCATTTTTGCAGGGGGTATGCTGGTTATGAAACTTGATATAAAAGATCTGCAGTTTGAAAAGATGAACCCATTTGATGGAACCATGGCATATGCACAAAACAAACGGCAGCAAGTGATCATGACTGAAAAATGGGCAGAAAAACACAAGGAAATTTTGTTTTCTTCCATGCATCCAGGTAAGTTGTTGTGCAAATATAAGAAAAGCAAAATACATTTGACACGATTGTAATGCCTATCGTGAGTGCTATTGTTCTTGAAGTTGATTAGTGGCCAATGCAATAGCTGAGGTGGAAAGAATAGTGATTGTGCTGGAGTCTGAGTTGTAAGGTTTAAGCTTTTTGCTTTATTGTTCTTCTATTAACAAGATAGTTAATTTTCAGTGTCTTGCCCTGCATGAGCAAGGGTGTAGATTAACATCACCATATCCTTGGGAAAATGTTGTGGTAAACTATGTGCCAGCATGGGCCATAGTTGCCTCATGTCATTAAAACTGGTAAAGGCCACAGAGACTTCACCCTTTGCACACTGCCGTTACTCTCATGTAACATACACATTTCTTCCATTTATTATTTTTTCTTGGTTAATACTTCTCAGGTATTATTTTTGATCAGAGGAAACCTTTAAATTATTTATATAACAGAATCTAATTACACTTTTTTGTGGTGATACAATAGTTATCTGACACCACCATGATTGGACACTGATGTGACAAATGGACAACTGCAAAAACAATTAAAACTGCTCCAGTTCATGTAAGGCAATCATTATATTTCAGGTTGGGCAGATACTCCAGCAGTGCAGACATCAATGCCAGGTTTCCATCGCAAAATGAAGGACCGTCTGCGTACTTGCGCTCAGGGTGCTGACACAATCATTTGGCTGTCTGTTGCTGATATGTCAAAGGAGCCCCGCGGTGCCTTCTATCAAGACAGAAAACCAGTTTCAACTCATTTACCTCTGGCATGGTCAAAGGCTTCTGATGGTGACAAAAATGAGCTGATGACCAAACTGGAAGATTTGGCTTCCAAGTTCAAGCCTGATTCATCAGCCAACTGACAATTATTATTATTAGGAAGATAAGCAAGGGTGTAACCATGTTGCCATCTCATTTGCTTACCACCATTTTGCAATGCCATTAGTTGGAACAAGGATGAAAGGTTGTTTCCTTTCTTTGATTGAGATTGTGGAAGTTGTTATGTAGTCAAGAGTTACTGATCCAGATGAACATATCTACAAATAATTGTAACATCAAGAGACCAATTATTATTGTAGGATCTTGAAGTGTGAATTTAGTGCAGTTATTTATCATTATAAAAAAAAGTTATCTTTTAATGTTGAAGAGCCAGAGCAAAAAGCCATGATATATTGATTTCAGCTTTAAATATAGCAATTGGGCTGGTGTGATTTACACTACAAAAAAAAAATGAGATAAATTTAAAAGATATGAAACAAGTATCATAACAATTTGAGAGTTCAAGATTTTCAACCCATTTTTCTTTACATGGTATTTGATACCACAAAAAGGTGTAATATGTGTGAACTCTCAGTATGAAAGGCTAATCCTAGTGCAAAACCAAGGGGAGGGAGCAGGTACTCACATATGCAGGTCTCTAATGAACATTTTTTTAGTGTGAAGGGGAGCATCTCCACTACTTTGGTCTTTGATAGAGTACTTTGACCAATCACAGGATTAACTAGTTTTTAATTTCTCTAAGTTAGTGCCCATGATAACTGGATGATTGCTGTTTGAATCTTGTTTTTCCTGTCTCCAGTATTTGCTGCCCTTTGACTCCAGGATTTAGGAAATTTTGGAAACTGTTAGGCTCTCCCTAATATTAATTAACCTCTCTAAAGCCAATGCTAATAAAATGCATCACAACCCAGACAACAAATGATTTACCTATCAATTAGAAAGATTATATTTTATTAGTCTTCAGCCCTGATTTTTGCCACTCAACACTGAAACATTCCAAACAACTCTTTATAAACACAAAGCCTTATATTTAGTTCCAATGCTTTTAATGGCATTGAATGATGGATGTTTTTGTGATTTATACATTACTGCTACTTGAAATCTTAACACTAGAAAATTCATAGAACATCTATGATTCCTGTGATGGTTTGTTCCTAACTCTACCTTATCCAGAAATGAACTGAACTTATTTAATTTTCTAACTACACAAAATATGTTTCTTTCAAAACCTTGAGGTAAGGTTACAGTTTAAATCATTTTTCAACCTCTTAAAGGAATAATTTGTCATTTTTTTAAAGGTACTTCAACTATACGACTGTTTTTGTTTATTTTCTTTTGAAATGGAAAATGGCCTTGAATTCTTCCTTTAAAAGCAGATGGGAGGTCTTGTTTAAAAAATGCATTTATTTCTCCTGGTAATGAAAAGGATCTGCTGTTTCTTCCTATTCTTCATCTGAACTGTAATGGACTGACTCTTAAGCCAATGGCATCTTTTCCAACCTCAGCAACCTGCAAGAAAAAAAGAAGAATGAGTAAAATTTGAACCCACTGATCACAAAAATCTTTGGATTAGATCTTCATTCTCCTCACTTATTGCAAGCACTCTAAGGTCTGTGAGACAGACATCTGATTCTTCCTTCCCCAAACCTCACCCTCCAAAAATTGAGAAAACACTTCTGCAGGGATGATATGCCTTGGTATATATGAATATCCCCTTCATTTAATAAACAAACAGCAAAGGTAAGCTGTAGACCTTACCTTACAGACATTGCAAATTGTTCCTTTGTACTCAGGCAAATAGGAAGCTTGACAAAGAGGGCACTTTTCTTGTGGTTTTCCCCTATAATGACAATAAAGATCCAACAATAAACACCACTCAGCATGTGTGCAAGCCACACCCAGTCTGAATAACAGTTACAAAACTAATGCACCAAGGGGGGCAGGAAATCAGAGGTTACTAACAAAGAAAGCTATATTGCTTTGTTTAAAAAATGATCAAATAGAGAAGAAGTTCCACTTAAGGACACCATAAACTGCCAACCTGTAGAGAGGCTTGTAAGATACTCCACAGATGGTGAAAGGGTTATGCTCATCATATTGAAGAACGTGTGCATCAGTAGGATTCTTGTCACAGGCTTGGAGGATCTTACGAATCTAACAAATGAAATCATACCATCATACCACCATATCATTGGTAAACACATTTGAAAGCTTGCTTCAAATTAGAAAAAGTGATGAAGTAATGATCATTTCCAAACCTGGGTAGCCACATCTGGACGTGGTCCTAGTTCCAACAGGCGACGAGCAAAGGACGCAGCCGTCTTGAAATTCTTTAACTGTAAACAAACCGTAACATTAACATATGAAGGCAGAAAGAGTACCTATGAATAATTTGGTGGTATGTCAAAGAGTTGCATGGTCTCACCTTAAAGAAAAGATTGACAGCAGTCCTAAGAGTAAGTATCTGATGTACTGGCTGGAGGTTGCAGTGAGTGAAATATGCTGCCATCTACAATAACATAAACACTTGCAGTAAGCTTCTGATAACTAAAATGAACTTTATTGTCCTTTCCAGGATGTTATATTACATAAAGATGACTAAGCCATAACAAGAAACCAACCTCGCAAAGCCGTTTCTGCTCTTCAAGGGTGGACTGTGGAAAGAAAGAACACCCTTAGAGTAATGTCATGGAATTGACCACTCTAAACATAGTATGACTAGAAGAAATGATCCCAAAAAAAGCTTCTTGTTCACCTTAGGTAATTCCTTTCTTTTCACTTCCATTTGCAGTCCAACAATGTATTCTCGACATATTCCCAACAGCTGCTGTGCCTCACTTATTTCCTGCTTACTGTCTACAACCAGCAGAGTAACACTCAAGAGAATGGCTTGAAGTTTATAGATTGCTTCCTGAAACTTGCCTCCTGTTGTCAACTGGTAAGCAGCCTGTTCAGAAAGTGAAAAAAAGAAAAAAACAATATTGGTGGTACACCAGAGCCAGGAAGACTTGAGAAGTTTTCACTGTTATTGAAAATAGAACATACTCTTCCAGTACCTCCCTTCCCTGAAGAAGAGGATCAGCCTAACAAAACTTAAAGCATGCTCACATACTACACAGAAGAAGCATTTAGTAACCTAGCTAATTATACCTAAAGAAGCAAGGATGTAAAATAGCTATGTTATGCTATGTAACAATGCTAACAAAGTCACTGTGGGTAGTCCTCACCTGTAAACGTTGTACAAGCACATTCAGTTTCAATCCCACAGCAGGAAGACCACCTTTAGCTCCAGCATCTCTCCTACAAAACCAAATAAGATTATCAATAACGGCCTCAAAGACACATTATATGTACAGGAGGATCTGTATATACTCTTCTCTGGTTTCACACATCTACATAAACAGACAAAATCGACAGGGAAACATTTCCTCATTTCTAAAACTAAAGGAAATGAGCACAATTTACTTCTAGTATGTGTTAAAATAAAATAATCTTTAATAGAGTTCAATTCTCAACAGAGCTCAGTCCAAAGCAAACAGCTCACCAGTTTCTGTGAGGATGCCCCAGCAATGGTGGCCCTCCAGGCATGCCTGGAAGTGCAGTTCTTCCACGACCAAAGGCCTGCATAAACAGTGGCTTGTATGGTTCAAACACGACTACACCTACTTGGTCATGAAGAAGCTGTGCACACAGAAATTGGAAAAAAAAAATCAAGAAAAATCTCTCATTAAGGAGTGCATAGGGGTCAGTAAAAGCTGGTTTGGAAGAAGCAGAGTTAGGCTTCTTGCAAATTCTTAGCTTTAATTTTTAAAATCATGATTACACCTCCACATCCATTTTGAAAAAGATGATGGTCACATAATTGAGCCTCTTAGTATAGTCTTAAATGAATGTTCTGAAGAATAACTCAGTAGTGGGTCTAACATGAAGGAAAAAAAAAGGCTCAGGCTGAGAATGAAAAGAATTTACATTTATGCTGCTTCTTCAATAAATCAATAAATTTGAGCCCTTTCTACCAACTGTACAAAGAATACTACATGGAAAAGGTATAATGTTGAAGCCAGAAGACCAAGCATGTTATGAAAAAACAAACCAGGTGAGTGAGAAGACTCTCAGTTCATCTAGCGAGTCAAGGAACTTGCACCAGCCAATTATGATCAAACTGGCAACACCGTGGACTCGCAGCAATTAACTGAATTATAACACACAACATAAAATTTCCTTTATTTTTACTGGTATAGCAGTCCATGGTGTGTGAGAAAATTTTCAAAGAAAAAAACATGATTATACTACTTACCCTCATAGCACTTTCAAACGACCCAGCCAGGACATGATCAACAGCAAGTTGGGAGTTAGTGCACCACACCTGTAGGAAATAACCACCAAGCTTTCAAAAAGTCATTTTCAAATTAATCATAAAATAAATTGCATGTATTTGGTAATTACCAAATTACTTTTATATATCTTTTTACATCACTAAAAATCTGTTCAGCAACAATCTGACTTAGATAAAAGGCCTGATTTTACAACATCACCAAAATTATGCCAGACAAGAGTGTTCTGAAATTACCTGGGACTGGCTAGTTCCCTTGACCGGAGGCACAAAGTAACCTTCATCTCCTGCACCAGACACAGGACCAACATCCTGTGAAATAAATGCAACAAAACATGACCATATTTTATCTCAGTTTAGTTACATTTCACAATAAACATAATAAAGAGCTGAATGCAGGACTTGGTTAAAACTTACCAAATCAGGTGGAAGCACCAAATCTTCATCTCCAACATCCCAGCCACCTTCTTCATCTCCCCCAAGGATGTCACCATCAGGGCCTTCCTCACCAAATCCTCCTTCTAATATGATAAAATGTATTTACATTTGGTCAGGATGGAGGATCATAGCTGGCACATTTGACTATGAATAACTCCCAAATAAAGTACAATGTACCTTCATCAATCACAAGCGCTGCATCATCTCCCCAGCCATCTCCGGCACCTTCATCCAGATCTGCAGCCACCATAGCTGCAGCTCCACCACCAGCTATCAGTCAAAGTTAATTTATGTTCAATTAGCATTTTCATCTTTACATATTAAACACAGAACTAAAGAGCTCTACATAATGTATAAACATCCATGTGGTTCTAATTTTACCTTTGGCAGCCATGGCTCCTTCAAAGAAAGTCTTTGCCACAGTAAGTAAGGGCCAGTTACCCTCATTCTGAAGGATTGGTGCTGGTGGTTGTAATAACTTGGCATTTGGGTTCACAGCTGGAAGCTAAATAAAAAGTGTGAATGAAATTTGGTTCTGAGATCATAAATCACTGATAGTACAGAATTTTTTTTCTACAAATAGTTTACTGGTAGTGCCTGTATATTGCCATACTTTGCTAACTTCAACTCAGGTAACTCAAACTTCTTACCAGCAAAAACAAAAATGCTTCTTTCCTTGGAGAACATTTTTCATTAATTCAGTAAAAGTTACATAAATCCCCCATCATCTTGAACTTGTTTCATTCTCTTTTGCAGGGATTTAATGTATGGTGGCCTTCATTGTACAACCAAGGTGGCTTCAACATGCATTTCTCTTAAGTCTTAAGCATAGAAATAAGAAACTCAGAATTGTTGAAATATATCAAATTCTACATACTGTCTCTGGATCAAGATCAAAGGTATCTTTTATTTCCTGACATTCTTCAGCAAGCCCATGAGTAGCAGCTGTCAAGTATGCCAAGGATCCTTTGAGAAGAGTCCAAATAAAGAAAATAACATTAAATGGCAGTAATTATTTACCTTTACATTGACAAAATAATCAGGTGTCCCATTACAGTCCCAGAAATATCATTACCAATATCCTCATCTTGCAAACAGGCTTGTCATTCACTATTTATCCAGTCATTTTTCCTGGGACATTGAAGACCTCATTTCACCCAGAAAACTGATTATAAAAACACATTTAGCCATTTAATTTACCTTGACCAAGACTCTTCAGGATCTTGATTCTCTCCTCCACATCACCAGTGTACAATGCATTGTGGTATTGGCCACTCATGTCCTTACGGATTTCAGCTACATGCAAAACCAAAAATCAGTTAATTCACAAATAGAATCCATTTATAAATTGGTGCACTACAAAGCAACAAACAGCATGTCAAACTCAGAAAGCACACCCACCAATTTTGGTCATCTTGGCAAGTTTCTCAAGGTTGCCAGTAATAAGATAAAGAAAAGACAACTTGTCAAAGTTCTTTGTTCTCTGATATGCCATTTCTACTACCTGTTGAATAAAATGCAAAAGAAAATTAATGAAAACAACTGAAGTATAACATCATAATTTTCATTGACACAGCCATACACAAAGCCCTAAGCATTCCAAAGAAACCAATCTCATCCTGTGCATTAAGTATAGACTACTCTATTCATTAAGGAAGATTAAAATATTAAAGCAAGAGGCCCCAGTGTGATAAAACCAGCAAAGCAAGCCAAGAAAGTTTAATCAGTCTATCATGATCAAACTGGAAACAGCAGTGACTCACATATGAACTTGTTATGATGACAATTAAAACTTGCCAATCCACATTGAGCCTGGACACCAGTTTCTTAGATTTAAGATGCTAACATAGTGGAACTAGCTAAAGAGCAATGTATGCCTTCAGTGCAACCTAGATTACTGTACAAGAAACTAAGACGCACATGTTCTGTGACACATACCTGATGGTTTCCTTGTGTCAGAGCAGCAGCTCCTAATCGATCCCAACACACCTTGTCATCAAGGCTTCTAGCTGCTTCCAGGGCTACCTGTGAGTAAAAATCACAAAAAATCTCTTACATTTCAGGCACAATTGTAATTTTTTTAATAGTATTCTATATGTACATTGCACATAAATCAGCAGCAGTGCATATTAGTAGTAAGAGAGACAGAGGGCAAGGCTCAGTGAACTTCCAAAGCTAGGGAACAGTATTATTCCTTTTAAGACTGCAGACACGAATGTTTGTAATCTGTTACCAACCTGTTACCCGGTTTTGTAAACTTGACCCAACTAAATCATAAGGTTAAAATCTCTACAACAAAATGCACAGCCACACTTAATATCCCCCTTGTATAACATACCTCAATGTTACCACATTCTAAGGCCAGTCCAAATCTGGTCTTTTCATCTTTGACAAAATGTAAAGCAACCTGCATTAAGAAAAAAAAAATTGTACTGAGTCTGTCAGCCATTAACAAACCATTATAAAATGCCCCATGCCAGACTGGCGATTGATTTTGAGAAGGAAATTAAAGTTTCTTACCTCAGGATAACCTTTCTTTTGAAGGTAAGAAATAATAGACTGTCCCACCAGTTTGGCATTTCGCACCATGTGTAGAACCTATGGAAGGAATAGACAGAAAAATAACTTACAGAGGGTAGTTACATGAAAACAGAACGTTGCATGTTTAAAAGTAATCATAAGTGTGTCCAAAACCAGTCCAGCCTACCTCATCATACTTGCGATTGATCAAAGCCAATTTAAACTTGAACTCTGTAGGGTCAATTCCAAGAACTCTGGTTTTACACTCACGATCAAGACAGTACACACTGCTCCCCTTGAAAATAAATATAAATAAAAATAGGTTAAAGGACTATTAACTAACATCAGTTCTTTTCTAATAGTACATAACTAATCTGTATAAGACATATATTTCTAAAAACCACAGACTGCAACAATTAAAATACCTAACATGAATACCACTTCTAAGACACATTCAAATGTTGAGGAACCCACCTTGATTCTTGTGATATAGATGGGAAGGTCAAGTGTACGAATGATACCATGGTCACTAGAATATGAGAAAGTATCAGACAACTATTGCAATGATGCAAATAATGATCTCTAAATTGCAACTAACACTGGTTGGATTTCCTCCCTATGAAGTGACAAATTCTACGCTTGGCTAAAAAAAAATAGAAATAATAAAAAAGATCCCATTATCTGGGACAAGCAGCTTTTCTTTTCCTCTTGCCTTCACTTAGGCCCCCTCACAACAAAAGATAAACAAAAATGTTTTGTCTTACTTGCCTACATCTGTTAGACCTGACACATTTACTCAAATCTAAACTTATGCAAGAAAAGACTGGTCCCATTAAAGAATGGGTCACCCCAATGGAAAACAAGCTATAGGATACTACAGATTAGTAGTTTTGTTTCCATACTAATATACATGTACATGTGTGTGTTGTAGAACAATCATTAGATTGTGTTAACAGAAGGGAGGAACCCAGATTAAAGTACAATACAAAACTTAGGTGATTTCAAATCTGTTAAAGACAAAAAATAATAGTCATAGTTACTGTAATAGGTAATTGTATGTTTCATTTGTACAAATGAGCTACCCATCGAGGTAAAAGTGACTGCCAACATGTACTGTAGAGCTGGCTCTTAACTATACAAAATAACAAACAGGCACCCAAATTGCATACTTACCCATTTATTAGTGCATATTTGATGTGGTTACTTGTGGTATAGACAAAAACACCATTTTCTTCCCATGCCCCACTCTTCACACGGATGTTTTCATGGATAGTGCAAAGACACTCCAGTTTTCTATTACAAATTGCAACCACTAGGAACACAATAAAATGAGAAAATTTTTAAAAATTCATTGAAAGTTGCAATCATACATGTTCTGTTGACCCCTTTAAGTTACTGGCATGATGTCAAAGATAAATTCAGACTCACCGTGTTTTCCTAACAAGGCCACATGAGCCATATCAGCTGACCAGACCACATATCGCACCTTATTCACTTTGACAGATGCCAAGGACCTGCCAAAAGAGAGAAATCAAAGATGAAAATATGAAGTATATTCTTTGTTTCAGTAGGATTCCAGACGCCAAAACCACGCCTGCCCTTGGAGGCAGAAAGTTCATCAGGTTTTGGTAACACAAACTGATCACAACAATGGGTGGGATACATTTGATTCACAAGTCATACTACATGTACATGTATTTCCAAGAAAGTATAATTACTACAAGTGAATTTCTAAAAATACTGTACCTCTTCTGCTGCACATCAAACAAGGTGACAGAGTCAGTGTCCCTTAATAACAAACTGCCAGTGCCAGCATAGAATATCATATCACAAGGAGGAGTTTGGACCTTCTTTGTTACTTCATTCTTCAGGTTTTTGATCAATAGCTGGTCAAGGAAACAAATTTATGTCAATGAAAAGTATGTCACAGAGCATATGACTTCCAAATTCCAGGGTTTTGAATCTTCCTGCAGATCCAGTTTTCTGTGCTGTAGGCTACTGATAGATGCATAACAGTTTTCTCTAATTCTTACAGTATGTGTTCTGTCCAAGACAGCAAATCTATTGCGTGCCACCCACACTGCAGTCAATCCTGATGCTCTTTTGCCCTCAGATACTAAGTTGAAAAAAAAAAGCACATTATCAACAGTCAGTTATAAAATTGTGGGTAGTAAGATTTTAGCTATTTGCTATATCTAATGCAGATCATACATCCAAATTAAAAGAAATCTGAAAAAATGAAAATGTTACTTGCATACCTTCTGGATTGCTACTGTCAATATCCTTGGGAACTGCATGCAGCTCATAGACACAGTTCTCTGGATTGCTTGCATTCTAACATGAAAGAAACACCCAATCAAAGTAAACAAATTATTTCACACTTGTTGGTGTACTTTCAAACTCTGTTTTCCAAAGGCATTTCTCACAACCCGCCACTCAAGAACAATGTAAATTTTCATGGTTCTTTGTTTTAAACATGCACATTTCAATTAAATTCTCAATTTTAGGTAAAAAAAGAAAAAGCATATGCAGATGTTAAGAATATTCACCCACATAACATTTGCATTCCAGTCATGTAAAATGAAATTGTTTCCTTGGGTAACCCTTGTGAGCAAAACAGACACTTCTTCCCACAGATAAAATATTTAATAGATGCAACACTTTTACCATGCACATGACTATTCATACTGATGGGAATCACTTACTGTGCAGAGAAGAACACAGTTTTCTGCAGGATTGTATGACATGCTATACACAGGAGTGCGAGACGAGTTCCTAGAATTGTAAAAATATATCAGTGTGCATAAAAAGTAATATGTACAACAAACAAAATACAACCATGTAGGTCCAGTTAAGCAAAATTGAAAATGGTTTGTACCTCCTGAACTGCATGACTGGCACATCTTTAGAGGTTCCAAATTCATACATCCTCAGATATCTCTCCTACAAAATAATAACTTTCTTAATAACATAGAAAAATCTTGAGCTTAGGAATGCATATCCATGTAATGAAAAAAGACAAATCTTTTTTACCTCAGTGACTTCACTTAAAGGACTGGCAGTGGCATAACCATGCATAAATATTTACTCCTGTTACTATACTTGTAAGTGCCCAGCATACTGAAGGTAAAATGTTTTCTAATTTGTTTGTTTGTTTCTTCTCCATTCTCTTTTGACCCACCTTTGTATAATACAGAATGTTTCCATGAACTGCATAAGCTGGCCTCTCCCTCTCTAACTTAAAGACTATCATTCCACTATCATGGCCTGGAAGGAAACAAACAGCTCTCAGTCATAAAGAACACTGTAAGTACCCCATGATAGATGTGCAGATGAATTTCTCTGCCATACAAGGTACTTTTTATGCACTTACCCACTGAGCAAAGCCTTTGCAAGCCCACATTCCAATCTAATCCCAAAGGGCAAGCTCTATTTCATTCATATTATCTACTTTAGTACAATGAAAAGAAAATGTTGGGGAAATACTCTCTGCTAAAACAGAAGTGACAGAACCATACCTGCAGCAAATAGATTGAGTGTGGGATGAGCAGCTGCTACCCAGAACCTGTCATGCTCTCTCCTGAATGTTTGAACTCCAGTTCTAAAAATGTAAAAGTGAACTCAGTCTAATCATAATAAACATACTTGACACATGCGAAATGATCCAGATTTTTTGCAGGTCTCACTACCTAGAATACGTGTGAAAACATCATGCCACAACATCTCATCTTAAGATGAACTTCTCACCTCTTTGACATGTCCCAAACTCTGATGCTCTTGTCTTCTGAATTGCCTGTGAAAAGACAAGGAGAAATTTTTTAAGAATAATAGCACTAAGAGAAAGCAGGAGACAACTGTACGTTCACAACATATAGTGCATGCTGACTTAAACCTAACATTGTTTCAAAAGGAGTACAGTTTCCAATTAAATTGGCTTTTTTGCTCCTATTTTGCTGCATCAATCATTTTGCAGTTCAAATTTTAATTCTCTTGGTTTTAAATCTTATAAACAGTTTAATTTAATGTTTCCTTTATTTCAGACTATTACTGTATGACAAATATAAGACAAAAGGAAAAAAAACCCAATTTTTTTGAGAAATTTGACACCATGAGAACATTTGTACTTCACCATATAACAGTACTTCAACTACTGTAAAAAAACATTTTTAACAACTGTATAGGACATCAATATTTAGTTAGTATACTTACTCAAAATCAGCTCTTGCCTAGGGTGGAACATTACACATGATACATTATTGTAGTGTCCTCGGCATGTATCTACTTCCCAGGCCTTGGAGTCTAGAATTAACAAAAAATAAAATATCTTGTAACACTGATCAACACATGGCTAAATAACACTCCTTGGAATTATTATTTTCATAATTGACAACTACAATTTACCGAGTGCAAATTACATGAATGTTTGATCAAATCTGAGTATTTGAAATGTTTTACTAGAGAACAAAACAAACTTTAATACCATTCATTCTCCACAGTTTGACTTGTCTGTCATCAGCTCCAGACACAATAAGTGGCATGGTGGGATGGAAAGAAACCCAGTTGACACCACGATCATGACCCTAAGAACAGAGCACAAAGAGACCTTTAATTTGACAAGAGTACAGGAATATCAGCCCTCCCCTTTCCTCTGCTATTTGACAAACTGATAATTCCAAACAATGGCTCAAGATTGCTTGAAAGGTTCGATAAAATGTCCCTTTAAATGTGGTAATTCAAATACAGTTACAGTGTGTCTGTTTCATGAACTTTCTGGAATCAGTCTCAACCAGACTCACCAGAAGGAAAACCCCCCTGGTATTTTATCATACAACAAACCAGTGCAACAGGTACAGTGGAAGCCCCCCTATATTAAAAAAGATTCATTCCCATGGGCTGACAATACACATACATGTCTAACAGGATCTTAAGTTATCTCTTTAGACCCCTTGCACAACTACATGAAGGAAAGGTTTTCAAAGAAGGCATATCAGCATACTCTGTTCAGTGGTTCCTTTCATTCATATTATCAGCATATATTATAAATGGTGCTCAATTGCCTTATAATAAACAAACTACCTTTCCAGAGTAAGTTCTGATAATCTGAAACTTTATATGTACAATACAGGCATGGAAATCTGATTAGTTTGTACATATCCACATACCTCGAGTACATGTTTAACAATAGCATCTGACTGTCCAAATAGATCTGTGTGGCCAGGAGTTTTTAAGTGCTCTTCTAGTCCACTTGCTCCAGGTGCACAGGTTTTCTTTCTAAGACCTTAAATTTTAAAGTTGACAACTTGATAAGCTTGTAAAAAAAAAGTAATTGCAGTTATGATGATGATCAAATCAGAACCCTATAAGATTCTCTTCTGTTCTATCTCTTCTGTTCTATCTCTTCTGTTCTATCAAGAGAAGAATGACGAGACTTTTAATCTGATACCAAAAATTGTGTAGGGATTCCCTCCCTCCTTACTATTTTATCATACTGCACCAAAATGGGCATTAAAAGGGACCAGTAATAACAACAGTGCCCACCTGAAATATCCCAGACTCTTACTGTTTGGTCAAGCGAAGCAGAAACAACCAAGTCTTCTGCAGGATGAAACTGAGCACACATCACATAGTGATTATGTCCTGTGAGAACACTGTAGGAGAAAATGATTATCAATTCCATTATTGGATAAAAGGAGAAGTGATGATGAAAAAAATCAACAAGAATAACATGGCCCTACTGATAATCATCATAAAATGTCACTACTGTGTCAAGGCCAAAAAAGTAAGTACCAGATACAAGTGCGCGACTGCCAATTCCAGATGCGAATTGTTTGATCATCAGAAGCACTGATTATCCATGGATATTCCTGTCAATTAAGATACATGTTCACATAAAAAGAGTGTTGGACATTGTGAAAAAAAATATTAACATTAACCAACAAAATGACAAAAACATGTACTGGTCCCTGAATCTATTTGACCAAAAAGCAAAAAAATTTAACAGTAACAATATCAACCCTGATTTACAATGCTTAATGGTATAAATAAAACTACTAAACAAGAATGAGACATATAATGTTAAAAGAGCACCATGCCAAAGTTGTACACTTCTTAATATCATGCATTGCTTACATGGTGATAAAAAGTTGTTCGGATGTAATCCAAGTGGCCCAACAGAGTGAACAGACATTTCTTCTGTTTGTAGTTCCACACCTAATTCAAGAAACACAATGATTACTTTCTGTTTTCTGTGTTGAAGAAAATGCTCATAGTCATCTGTGAGAAAACAAACTTTGATATTGACCCTGTCTCACAAATCTAAACATTAACACCCTGTACCCTGTATATGAATTTAGCTATCAATACAAGAATCCAAGATCAAATTTACTTTCAAATGCCATACCTTTATGACTCACTTCAGTGCCTGGGGTGTTTACTTACTTTTGGTACCTCTAGGAACGGTGCTTATTCAAAAAGGGATAAGGCACTTATTTCTCTTTTGAAAACAGCAGAATATACAAAACAAAGCTTTGATATTTATTTTAAAGGAAACTACAGTAGAAACTGTAAAAGTAACATATGTCCAGTGAACAATTGCATGATAATGATGGGATTGTACTCTAGCAGTGTTATCACTGACACAGAATAGGACAGTTACTCATTGCAGGATGACTCGGAAACCAAAATCTATTCCTATTTATTTCTGATTCCAAGTAAATTCCAACTCACTGCAATGTACATACACCCCCTTTAAGCCACATTCAAACGATGGAGGTTAATTCAAAGATGTGATCACATATATCAATGAGACATAAAAGACATACCTTTATCTTATAATCATCTCCTCCAGAAACAAACAAAGGTTGGTTGGTATGAAAATTGATTCCTCTTACTGGACCTAGAAAAAAGAACAGGGTACTACATCTTGACCAAATAATATACAAGATATGGCAAATTATTGTGGTTAAAATGGTATTTCAAAATACTTTAAGTTTTGATTCATCCATATATTGATTCATTCCTTTGTTTCAAACTAGAAAAATGAATAGCAGGCAAGGAAAAATTTACATAAAATCTGTTTTGGAAAAACTAAGACCTAACTACAATAGAACCAAAGCATGGTGAAAACAGTTAAAACATATTGTAAATTGAACATCATTAAGTCAATAGCAATTAAGATCTTGTGCTTTTTAGGTTTTATTTTCTGTCATTATATAAACAAGAAACACCACTACTAGGATTAGTTCATCTTTTGATTTAATTGTCTATTACATGCATTACAAGACTTAGGACATGCTTAGGATGCATCTTGAAACACTATGTTCTCACCGTCATGCTCATCAAATCTCTCCAGCAATGTGCACATTCGGTAGTCCCACAACTGTATAACACCATTATGCAGACTAGCAAGAACCCATGGTCTCTTGGGGTGGAAGGCAATGCCTAAATAATGGAAGACAAAGGCAGAAATCAATATTACATGGAATTCTAATGTACCCTAACAGTGATAAAGTGCGCCACTGTCTATCTCAGTTCTTGGAATTTTTGCAAAGTTCAGGTGACCATAAGCTAATTTTACCACTAAAACAATTTTTGGAAATAGTGGAGTCTGAAGTAGAACCTACAAAAGTAGTAAACAATCAATCTTTTAGGGAGCACTAGTCTAGAGTAAGCTTTCCCAAATATCACTAGGGCAAATTTCAAATGAGTATCAAAGGTAAATTGGCATTTCTATGGTTTTGTTTTCATTCACTCTGTGGTAGGTCTAAAAACTTGCACACCTTCTCAACCAATCATATTGAATACTACAACCAATTAGAACCTGGTCACTTGCATTTTCCCATGTTTTATGCAGTTTTCTTGATTTTACTTGGCTTCTCACATTATTTCCATCGTTCTGATTGGCCCTTGTGATTGAATGGTTTGAGTTTTTTAACTGTCCGTCAAAATTCGCTCCATTACTGACAAATGATCACTTTGTTGAATCACAAAATACAGTGACTAAAACTTTCAAAATCAGTGGTCAGGTTTTACAGAATTTTTCCCTCTGAACATGCGACTTTCAACAGACCAATAAGTTAACAATTATATTAAATTAACAATACACTGCATTCAACAAACTTCCAAAAACAAAGAATTATTCGATCTTAGAACCAATCGATCGTCTGATTCTTGAAAAGAAGCCATGAACAAGAGATTTTCCACGGATAACCACGGTAGATTAAAGTTTATTTAGTAGATTAAGATGAAAAGGGATCAAAATTATTTTTTTGAAAAACATTCATGTGAAGGCAGTCGTAATTCTGTACAAGGAGTCATGCATACCGTGAACACGAAATAATAGAGCGACTTCCTTACCTTTAACTCTCGCCGATTTTGTTTCAAATTTCGTAAGCATGGTAAAAATAATTTACCAAACCTTTCAAGAGGCTAATAATAATTGATTAAAAACACCACTAAGGCTTGCACTCGCCAAGACCGCCAGAATACGATGAAAATTGGTAGAAAACTTGTAGAGTTCTACCAGTGCGAACAATATGGCGGTCGCCACGTCACTTCAGACATGTGTGAGTGCCTCGATTTCATGTAAGAGATTTGCTCCTCCTACCCCTCCCTCAAAGAAATCGTTCAAGTCGGCCCCAGTTTTAAAATCATGGCACGCGACCTTCCTCTCTCTCTTTCCTCTGTACGACCGCCATCGCGGTTTAGATCGGTGTACAATCCGCCGAAATTGACAAGAAAAGCGATACATCATGGCTGAACAATTAGTTCTTAAGGGAACATTAAAGGGACACAATGGCTGGGTAACACAGATAGCCACCAATCCTCAGATCCCAGACAAGATTTTATCCGGTTCTCGGGGTATGTAACTCACTGATGCTATGTTGTATTTTGGTGTTGGGTTGGTAGTTGTACGAATGATTACCCGTGATCTCTAGCCGAAACATTGCTTCCTCCATTTGTGGAAAATTTTAAGTTCACAATCATCTTTATCGCCAATACTCATTATTTCTATGGGTAACCAAATGATTAGTGCACTATCAGCCAACATTTAGGAATCACAACTGCACTTCTAGTAGTTGAATCAGAACCATTAAATACTCACTCAAAGGTTAGCTTGTATTTTTACAGCTGAACACGATATAGTGGTATAATACGTATACAGTTATGTTGGTGTAACAGTGCTGATGTCAGATCTTAGCTATCTTTGAGGAAAAAAATATTTGTTTTTTGAAGGGCAGCTCTCTTTTATGATTTAAGCTAAATTGTTGACTAGGAGGTGGGAAGATAGGTTTAAGACAACATCAGCTGTGACATGGCACATGTACTTGGGCATTAGATGAAATCAGCTTGTTGCTGTGCAGTGTTTAACTTCATGTAAAATTCCAAATGATGTGTAATGAGTTTTTGTGTTGTCTTGTTTTCTGACTGTATATTTCAAAGTTATTTTTACTTAATATTACAGTATTACTGTATTTTCTTATTGTGTCTGAAAGAAAATGTAAGTTTAAAATTGACTCAACCTGAAATTCATGTTAAAAAAAATTCACGAAACAGTCCGATAAAATGCAGGCTTAAGCTATCACATTTACAGCGAGTAGCTTGTAACTGGCTGTCACTATTCATTGCATTATTCTGAGTGTCACACACATTTGGAAAATGTTTTGAAGATAAGGAGACAATCTTTCTTTGTCTAAAATGCTAGAAATACACACACTTGGAGAAATAAGAGAGAGTATATGGTAAAAGAACTAAACCACTCTACAACTCTTAAAGATTGGAATACAATAACTGATTGCAATTCTCATCTTTGATTACTGCTAGTATATTGATGTAAGCTCTGTGTGTCTTAGATAAACAACTCATTGTTTGGAAACTGAAACGTGAGGAAACCAACTATGGTGAACCTGAGAGATCTCTCACTGGTCACAATCACTTTGTATCTGATGTGGTCATGTCATCTGATGGTCAGTTTGCACTCTCTGGCTCATGGGATAAGTGCATGAGATTGTGGGATCTTAATGCGTAAGTCTTGTCTAATATCAAACTTCATACTTAAGAAGGTGTATGCTTCAGAAACCATAGTACTATAAAGATATATAGATTTATCTCTTATTATGTTTTGAGACTTGAGAGAGCAATCTAACCATTTGCAAATTTTCTTCAAATATTCAAAAAAACTAACTATGATTGGTGCCATTTTGGGAAACAAAAATTTTGGTGATCAAGCTGCACAGCTATCAAATGGCATAAACCAAACTTACTGCTCACCAATATTTGTTTTGGTGGTTACCACAGAAAGTCATTACTTGAGTAAAAAATTGCCACTTTGTGTATTTATTTATGATTTAAACAGATGGGAGAGAGATGGAAATGACAGGAGTGAGAGTTGTAAAGCAACAGTCCCAATGGTTGTGTCCATAGTTAAATTTTTAGCCCAATTGAAGACAACTTTTGAAACTTTAGATGACATTTAATCTCAAAATGCAGTCAGTGTCATAATTTCATGTGAAATTTTCACTGCCAGATATAAAAAAAATTTTCAGTTTGGGGTTCTTAGTTTATTATTATTTCTTTTTTTTCTTTTTTTGTATGTATTTAAATATTTTTTGTCAACTTTTTTGTTCATTAGTGGCACCACCACTCGCCAGTTTGTCGGCCACACCAAAGACATTTTGAGTGTTGCATTCTCTGCTGACAATCGCCAGATTGTGTCAGGATCCCGTGATTGCAATATTAAGTTATGGAATACCCTGGGTCAATGCAAGTATACTATTCAGGTGTGTGGAAGTTATCATGACTTGGTGTAATTCCATCATTTGTTCTACTATGGTTTCTCTTTTGTCAAGCTAAGTGCTAAGTGCATAATGATGAAATTGAAAAATGTGAGCATCAACTTTAAACAAAGGGTTGAAATTGAACAACAACAGACACCAACTCAAAGTTGACTATTTACAAGAAAATTCATATTTGTCTTGGTTTTTTATAATTATTTGTTCTTTATAACAGGATGAGGGACACACTGAATGGGTATCTTGTGTTAGGTTCTCGCCAAACTCAACAAATCCCATCATCGTTTCTGCTGGCTGGGACAAAGTTGTGAAGGTATTTCTCAAATATGCTTTCTTCAAAACCCAAATACTTTACTTAGAGTTCTGTCGTCTTTTCACTCTCAAGTCAAAATATTACTTATCTACAATTTTTTTCATACATTTTTTTTTCCTGTCTTCCCATCACATTCCCCTGAAACTGTGCCATTATAGTGCATGTATGAAGTACTTCCTCTGTGGTCATTCCTGGGATTGTAAGGGGTATCTCAAATATTTGTAAGTTCCTAAATATGTCTAGCTCACAACCACAGCAGTATATTTCTGTATTGTGAACATGATTTACAATTTATAATTATAGAACTAGTCTGATTTGTGTTTATCTTTTTGTAATCCTTTCCTCTGAGAGTGGCAATTAAACTTCTGTTCTTCCTCACAATATTGAGCCATCAATTTTTAGAAAGGTGGTTAGATCAGTGCCTGAGTGCTATTTTGAGAAAAACCAAATTCTTCCCATCAAGTTACAATGAAATGTGAAGCAGTAAGCAAGGGAGGATCACAAGTAAAACATTTTGATTGGGGTAAAGGCTGAAAGACTGACTAAACATTTCTGGAACAAAGGAAATACAACCTGTTTGATAAGATAATTTGAATCTGGGAAATTCAATTTGGTTGAAACTAATAATGCAAAACCCTCAGTATCTCAATTAGAATTTCCTCAGCACCTCAGGACCTTTAGGTCAGGGGTATTTCATTGTATGCTATATTCTCAGCAGGAAGGGATTCAAGAGTGTCGAGTGAGTTAATGAACTGCTTTTATTAATTCCTTCAAGGTTTGGAACCTGACCAATTGCCGTCTCAAGACAAACCATATCGGACACACTGGATATCTTAACTGTGTCACTGTATCACCTGATGGCTCTCTGTGTGCATCTGGTGGTAAGGATGGTATGGCCATGCTGTGGGACTTGAACGAGGGAAAACACCTGTACACACTTGATGGAGGTGACATTCTGAATTCACTGTGTTTTAGCCCCAACAGATACTGGCTCTGTGCTGCCGCAGGACCCAGCATTAAGATTTGGGTGAGTAGCATATTGCTTACAATAGGAAAAAAGTAGTTAAAGGGAGATTTTCAGAGTTGCTTGGAGCTACAGAAGTTGGGATAAAGTTTAGTAGTATGGGCCTTGGACTCATAAGCTGCCCTGAACTTTCCTTATGGGTATTGAAGAAGAATTTGTTCTAATTATTTCTTTAAGGATTTGGAAGGCAAGTCCATTGTGGATGAGCTGAGACCAGATGTGATCAGCATGGGAGGCAAAGCCCCACCTGCCAACTGTATCTCCTTGGCATGGTCAGCTGATGGCCAGACTCTGTTTGCAGGTTACACTGACAACTTGATCCGTGTGTGGCAAGTCACTCGCGTTTAAGACAATTAGCCATGCTTTGTGACTGAGGAATTTTACATTGTAAAAATAAAGATACAATTACACAGTAAACAGATTCTGCTTCCTTTTGATGAGTCTTTTAGCTGTAAAGTTCCCAAAAGGTATGTTAATTATGGTATAAGAGGTAATATCTTTCCTTGTTGGAGTGTGTTCTGGTCAATGGACTTCTTTGAAATAAGAAGTGTTGGGAAGATTTTTGACGCCATCAGTGAATTTTATAATTGTCCGCACAACAGAAGAAGTTCAAACAGCACAATATTTCATGAATGTTTTCATGTGTACAAAGGTTCTACGTGGTATTCTTGACTAGACTTTGACTAGATGTAGAGACCTTGAAAAGACTTCGGATCAGCTGCCATCTCATTTTGTTTTAACGCAAGGGCCGAAATGGAATTAGAAATGTTCCCTTATTTATGTGCAGCGGTTTCCGCCCATAAGACCTCTTACTGTTCTCTTTTTAGCTTGCAAGCATGCTTTCTAGTTCGGGTTTCACCTCGGGTCTCGACAATTACACCATCAGTGGTCACACTTACGGAGAAAGTTATTGAAAACCCCGCATGTAAATTGAGTATACTTTCTTGAGAAAAGTCGAACTCTCAGATTATTTAGTTGATGCATTGTTGACGTGAAACAAATCTATTCAAAGATTTTGTACAAAGTCGTCATCAAACGCCTTGTGGGAGTTACAGTGGAAAGCCTGCACAATTGGTCTTCATAGGGAAAGAACTGTAGAGGTCTCAGGAAGTTGTCAACCAGTTGCCCCTTTCTTTCATTCATACTATGCTGGCCAGGTAGGCTTCAACCAAAGAATTCCTGATAAGCACCCAAACCGATCCAGTTCCTCCTAGTGTTCTCACAAATTCTAGCGAATGGAAGGGGGCGTTCCTATGTCTGGAGAAATGTACTACACCAGGCTCCTGACCAAGCAAGGTAGTAGGTAGGATAAAGTCTGGTACTAGTTATGCATTGACTGGAACTTAGAACGAAGCACCAGGTTTCTCTCGGATCAGGAACCATATGAGAACTAGAAACAAGGTCGAACCCAGAGCGTGGAGATAT